TATCAAATTGTTTTTCTCAAACCATCAGCTTTTTTGCTTTATGAGTGCTGTGGGAAGTAGAAAAGTTCCTTTTTAAAGTTTCCTTTCTTGGTAAGTCTTAAGCGTGCTAATAACTTTGTTAAGCCCTCTGCTATGTAGCTGTTAGACCTGCCATGTTACAGGCATGTAGTACACTCTATGTCCTTGTACTTTAACCGGGATATCTGTGCTGGACGTGCTCACAGGCCTGTCCCAGCTCTCCACTGCTTTCACCTGTTTAGAAAAGTAAGTTGTTAGTCAATCAGGTTTTAGTTTAGATTGTGCGGTCTGGCTCCAGCCAACGGAGATCAGACACAGCAGTAAGGACGACCCCAAAGGCGTTAGGGATAAATTTGTGTTTTCCTTTGTTCATTGTACTCTCGAGGCACGATGGCTAGTGAGGGTGCCCTTCCTGCAGCCCATGAGGTAACAACTGTGTTACTGAGAGATCCTTGGTCTCAGGGCTGATTTGTCTTTGTGGCGCCGGGCATCTACTCCCAACAGGTAGTAACAATTTGTAACCTTCAGTCACTTACTCTTCCTACTTTCTTTTGGTTTGGGTAACTTTTGTGTGTGTATATGCAGTAAAATCACTTGAGGTGACAGCACTTCCTTAGGTTATAGTCTATCAATTTTATTTATTTACTTTGTAGTTACATTTTCGATCATGTGCAATTTTTGTTTTTTGAGACAAGCTCTCACTCATGTCCAGGCTGGGGTGCAGTGGCATGATCTTAGCTCACTGCAGCCTCCAATCCTGCAGCCTCAAACAAGCCTCCTGCCTTGGTTTCCCAAAGTGGGGATTACAGACATGGGGCAAAGGGTGTGGGGCTCCATGCCCTCCCTGGGTGCGCCACCCTCCAGGAACATCCACACATTCAGCTCTCCGGAAGCTCCTGCGCCCTATCCTTTGGGGTTTTGTGGAGGGTTCATTACACAGGCATGTCTGACAACTGTGTATTAATATAAATGGACAAAAGTACACGACGTAAACCCAGCAAAGGCCTCTCTGAGTAGCATTCTTAACTCCAGGGGACGGGCAGAACCTTCTCTGGAATGAGGGTCTTCTGACCCACAGATGGGAGTCCTGCCTTGGGAGGGTGAAAGAACGGAAGTTCAGAGAAAGGTTGTTTCCTGAGGCCTAAAGCACCCCAACATTGCAGCAGATGAGTGTACTGAGGGTTATGGGAGACAGGAGTCAAGAGCCTGCACTAAAACCTGTATCTGTATAATCATCATCTCACAATGCTGTTTACTAGTTCACCCCAAGCTTGCTGGCAGCTAACCAAGTGTCCTCTCAGTGTGCTTGGATAACCAGGGAGTCTATCCATTTCATCTTAGAGAACAGGCTTCTGACCCGCAGCCCACCAGCCTGGCTGCTCCCACTCCTGGGAACTGCCTTCCCTGCAGAAATGTCCTCCAGCCCTCTGCTGGGTAGGTTGCCTGGTTCCTGTCTCCAGCCCTCTGCTGGGTAGGTTGCCTGGTTCCTGTCTCCAGCCCTCTGCTGGGTAGGATGCCTGGTTCCTGTCTCCAGCCCTCTGCTGGGTAGGATGCCTGGTTCCTGTCTCCAGCCCTCTGCTGGGTAGGATGCCTGGTTCCTGTCTCCAGCCCTCTGCTGGGTAGGATGCCTGGTTCCTGTCTCCAGCCCTCTGCTGGGTAGGATGCCTGGTTCCTGTCTCCAGCCCTCTGCTGGGTAGGATGCCTGGTTCCTGTCTCCAGCCCTCTGCTGGGTAGGATGCCTGGTTCCTGTCTCCAGCCCTCTGCTGGGTAGGATGCCTGGTTCCTGTCTCCAGCCCTCTGCTGGGTAGGATGCCTGGTTCCTGTCTCCAGCCCTCTGCTGGGTAGGATGCCTGGTTCCTGTCTCCAGCCCTCTGCTGGGTAGGATGCCTGGTTCCTGTCTCCAGGTTTTATCCATCCTTGGTTTAATCCAGCAGTGTGCTGGCACCGGCTGGCACAGCCATCTCTTCCTACCTCCGTCCGCTAACTTCACTTCGTCAGCATGTAATCGGCCTTGGTGGCATAATTACACCAAGGACATTTGTAAATGCTAAAACCAGGGCTCCTCTCCACTCGAGAGCTGCTTTAATCCCTCCTTTTGTTGACACTCATCTTCCAGTGGCTTCCTGAGAAACAGGTTGAATGTGCAGGAAAAATTCTGCCACTATATTCCACAGCTGAAATATCCTTACTGTACTCCCCAGCCTGATTTTAGCTCAGTGTCAAATTCTCGTTTAGAATATTCGCTTTCAGGGGCCAGGCACAGTGGCTCATGCCTATAATCCCAGCACTTTGGGAGGCCGAGGTGGGTGGATCGCTTGAGTTCAGGAGTTCAAGACCAGCCTCGTCAACAGGGCAAAACCCCATCTCTACTAAAAACACAAAAATTAGCCAGGCTGTGCTGAAGCACACCTGTAATCCCAGCTACTCGGGAGGCTGAGGCATGAATTGCTCAAACCCAGGAGGTAGAGATTGCAGTGAGCCAAGATCCTGCCACTGCACTCCAGCCTGAGCAACAAGAGCAAGATTCCATCTTAATAAGTAGATAAAATATGGCCAGGCGCAGTGGCTCATGCCTGTAATCCCAGCACTTTGGGAGGCCAAGGCGGGCAGATCACAAGGTCAGGAGTTCAAGACCAGCCTAACCAACATGATAAAACCCTGCCTCTACTAAAAATACAAAAAAAATAATAATTAGTTGGGTGTGGTGTGCACCTGTAATCCCAGCTACTCAGGAGGTTGAGACAGGAGAATTGCTTGAACCCAGGAGATGGAGGCTGCAATGAACCAAGATCACACCATTGCACTCCAGCCTGGGTGACAGAGTGAGACTCCATCTCAAAATAAATAAATAAATAATAATAATAATTGAATATTTTCCTTCAGGAAACAGCACCCTGTAGGGAGGGGATGTCCGATGACCCTCGAAGTTTGAGAGCCACTCCTAACCTTCCAATGGCCTGTCCGCTGAACCAAGAAGCCAGCAAAACTGCTGAGTAAACAAATATTCAAGAACTGGATGCCATTTCAGTCACACATGCTTGCAGAAGGGCACTGATACAATAATGTCTCCTGTACACATCGCAGAGTCTGAAGAGCACACAGAGAGTTTGTGTCTCCTGGTACAAGATCTCAGCAGGCCTGCAAGGAGACGGCTCACATGGGTCCCCACACAAGTGCACTCAGCGTGAACTTTCGGAGCAGCGGCCCACGCTCAGGCCCACAGGTAAGATGGCAGGAGCCCCTGGCCTTGTGAAAGCTTGGGCCACAGAGCTGCTGGTGAAGGGGGCGAGTGAAGGTCTCATGTGGTCTGTGCAATTCAGGCAGAAATGAGGACAGGTGGGAACCCACCAGGCAGACGACAAGCTGAAAGGCTCCCAGGGAGCAGACACTTATGGGCCCCAAAAGGCCAAGAGAAAGAGGGGAAAAAAAGTCCAGGTGTGGTGGCTCATCCCTATAATCCTAGCACTTTTGGGAGGTTGAAAAAGGTGGATTGCTTGACCCCAGAAGTTTAAGACCAGCCTGGGCAACGTGGTGAAACTCTGTCTCTACAAATATACAAAAGTTATTAGCCCGGTATGCTGGTGCAAGCCTGTAGTCCCAGCTATTTAGGAGGCTGAGGTAGAAGAATCCTATGAGCCAGGGAGGTGGAGGATGCAGTGAGCTGTGATCATACTGCTGCACTCCAGCGTGGGCAACAGAGTGAGACCCTGTCTCAAAAGGCCAGGAGTGGAGGACAGGCCCCAGGCCAGGAGGTTTGGCGTGGCTGCTAGGAGCCTCGTGAGAAGGCTGTTGCTGGTAGGGGCATGCCGCAGATGACTGTTGCAGACCACGGAGCTTAGCCTTCAGGATTTAGAGCTGGGGATGACAGGCTCAGGTGTCCTTGTTGTGGGGCAGGAAGCACAGGCACAAGAATGAGCCCAGGCCTCAGCTCCAGCTCGGCTGGGCTAACGGTGGGGCAGTAAATGTGGACAAGGCCCAGCTTCAGAGGAACTTGGTGAACAGGAGCCGTGGTCACCACCTGTGTCCTGCCTTCCCTGCCCTTCAAAGGGTGTGTTCTGAGCTGAGGCGAGGCCCACGTGAAATCCGAGCAGGCTCCCGAGTCACCAGACACCTAGGGAAGCATGGAAGGCCTGGAACGTCACACACAGCTGGGTGAGCCCACATGGGGCTGTGCAGGCTCAGGGAGTCCAGTCCTGGGCTGCAGGCCAGTTCTCCACGCAGGTGGTCCTGGAGGCAAGCTGGTTCTGGAAGTAGGTTCTGGAAATGGGCCAGTCCGGGAAGCAAGCTCTGGAAGTAAAGTGATTCAGAAAGCAGGTTTCTTCTGGAAACAAGTTTTACAAACAGGTTCTGGAAGCACGTGGGTTCCAGAGGCAGATGCAAGAAGGAGGTGGGCTGTGGACGGAGGTTCTGGAAGGAGGCGGGTTCTGGAAGCTGGTTCTGGAAACGGGCGACTCCGACAGACGCGCCTCGCTCGGGCTGGGGCCGGGCCTGGCGCCTCCCCTCCGCGGGCAGAGAAGAAAGCAGGCATTGTCGGAGAACTCACACGGGCATCTGTCCCTAACAAAACCGTTTTAAAAACCCCATTGTGAACATTTTTGGAGCCAGCCTCTGAGAGGGTCCCGTTGCCGGGGTGACGGGACGGAACGGCGCGGGCGGGCAGATGCCTGAAGTCCCCACCAAGGGAGCCGAGGACTCCCGCCTGACTCTCCACTTGGGACGTTCCGTGTAGTTTCCCCACCGTTTCCCGAACTTGCTCCGCAAGCGCCGCGGCCGCCTTGGCGCAAGCGCAGTGCCATCGGCCGAAGGGCCGCCGGCGTTCCCGCCGCGGTTGCCAGGGGTTACGGAATTCCCGGACCCGCGGGAGGGCGGGGCTGGTCGACCAGAGCCCGCCTTCCTGGAGCTCTGGTTGGCTAATCTGGCTGTCCGTCGAGACGGCATTGCCGCCTACTGGTCAACGGCCAGCTTGGCGCCCCGGCCCCCCCCCCCCCGCCCCGCCCAGCCGCGCCGGGCCGCCCCCACCCAGGAGGGACCGTCGGGGACCCGCGCGACACTGAGGAGCCCGTGTCCGGGGTGGTGCGGGCAGCCCTGGGGACCCCCAGCGCGGCGGGCGCGGAGATGATCCTGGAGGAGAGGCCCGACGGCGCGGGCACCGGCGAGAAGAGTGCGCGACTGCAGGTGCGCAGGACGGGCGCGGCGGCGGGAGGAGGGGCCCGGAGTCCCGGCTCTTTCCTGCCTCCCGCGTCTCACTCGGCCCGGACTTAGGCAGGGAAACTGAGGCCAGAGCCTGCGTCCTTCCTCCTCTGGGCTCGGCGGAGGCGCTTCCAGGCCACTCAAGTGAGCCCAGGAATGAGGGGAGCCCAAGTCTGGATCCTCACCGCTGAAGCGGGTGAGGGGGGCTCCCTCCTCTTGGCCCCCTCTGAGCAGGTGTGGGGCCGGGCTCTGTGACCGCCCTCCCCACACCCGCCTTCCTGTTCCTTTCCAGGCCCATACAGCCTCTTTCTCTAGCTCTGTCCTTCCTCTGCACCCGCTCCGGAACTGCGTGCCCATTGGGTGCGCTTGTAGCAGCGGGCAGGAAAGCCTCCTGGGTATGGGAAATGGAGAGAGGTCCTCCCGTCTGGTCTCTCCTCAATTCCCAAACCTACTCCCTTTCTGAGGTCCCTAACCTGGGGGCTGACTGGGCAAGTGGGAAGGGTAGGCAGGGCTGTGGAGACCTGTTGTGTCTGTGCCCGGGAAAGAGGGCACGTCCGTGGGCCTTGTTCTGCAGCCCAGAGCCTGCGTGTTCCCTGTGGACCAGCTCGAGGCTGCCCCAGTGCTCCTGCCAGGCACTGGGCACCCGTGCCCCCCAACGGGCTTTCAGCTGAGGGCTGCCCCTGCTGCTTGCTCCAGATGAGCCTTGGATGGCGCTCAGCTGTGCTCCCCTCTGGGACGTCAGACTGCGTTGTCCCTGGGCTGGCTCTACTCAGCTTTGGCATCTGGGCTCCAGTCTCCTGGGGGAGGAGGTGGTGCCATCACAGGTCACTGGGCCGGTGATGTTGACCAGAGCCCTCAAGGGCTCCCTTTCTGCCCACCCCCAGGCTGCAGCACCTCCTGGCCACTGGAAAGAGCGGCAGCCTGTGCCTGCCCTTGGTGATCTCACTCTGGCAGGGTGGCCTGGGATGGCCCATGTTGTTTTGAGTGGAATGTTTGGGAAGCTGCACAAACAAGATGTCCTGGAGGGCTCGGGAGGTGACGCTTTTCAGGCTGTGGGCTGTGGCCAGGCTCCTTGTCCTGGCCCTCCCTTGCCCGGGGAGAAGCTGTCTCCAACCACCTCCTGGCTGCTGCATCTCTTACACCATCCAGAAATGACCCCGCCATCAGGGGACTGGGGAGGGCACCTTTGGGAGGTGGTGTAGGGTGGAGGCAGGCCCTGTGTCACACACACACCACTCAGGCTGTCCTGCCATCTGGAAAGTGTTCCCTGATGCCTGTAGCCAGGCTGGGGTGAGGCCTGTTCCACCCTCATCAGGCTGACCCCCAAACTGGCCCTGATGCTCAGAGTTCAGTGGGTCAGGGGTTTCTCCACTTAGAGGCCATGCCTGGGCGACTTGTATTGCCCCCGGCATGATGAAGGCAGCTGTCCAGGGAGCACTCAGCTGGTCCCAGGGCCAGTGCTGCAGCTAGAGTCCTGCCATGGGTGCTTCCCAGGCCCTGGGCCTCAGCACGTCTGAGGAACAGCGTGAGTAGGTGATCAGGGCTGCCAAGCTGGGAATGGGAGAAACCTGTCATGGCGCAGGGTGGCCAGTGCAGCCCCTGTCCCTCCCACAGGGGCCACAGGGGCTCCCGGGAGAGGGCCATAGGCACGTGGGTTTTGGAGGCTGGTGTAGGTTCTAGGACGGCATGGGGGTTTGAGGGAGGGTGTGGGTTCTAGGGGATGGCGCAGGGGTTTGAAGGAGGGTGTAGGTTCTAGGGGATGGCGCAGGGGTTTGAGGATGGTGTGGGTTCCAGGGGACAGCACGGGGGTTTGGGGATGACTTTGGTTCTAGGGGACAGCGCAGGGGTTTGAGAGATGGTGTGGGTTCCAGGGGATGGTGCGGGGGTTTGGGGATGGTGTGGGTTCTAGGGGACGGCACGGGGGTTTGAGGGATGGTGTGAGTTTAGGGGACGGCGTGGATTCCTGTTCCCCAGCAAGGGCGGGAAGCAGTCCCAGGAGCCACCAGAGGCCTTGTGTTGCTGCTGACCGGCAGATGTGGCCAGGATGGCCACACCTGACACAGACCAGACTCACCCCAGGGCTGGGTGGGAGTCACTGTCCTTAGCAGCATTGTGGGTCTCAAAGCATGGAAGGAGTGAGTGCTGGAGAGGCAAACCAGCCACTCCACGCCTGGGAGCCCACCCAGGGGACAGCCACAGGTGACATAGAGAACTTTATCAGGGTGGAGAGCCAGGTGTTCCCATGTGGCCACGGGAAAGAGCGGTGGGAGGCAGAGGGAGGGATACGTGAGGATCACACAGGCAGGACTGGGGTGGCCTGAGGCATGAAACTGGATCTCCCTTGAGAGAAATTTAAGCCCCAACACGTTTGCACCACTTCAGAAGACAGAGGAGCCATGGAAGTCCAGAAGGGGGCCCTGCCGGGCATGTTCCTGTCTGTCTCCATGACCAGTGCTGGGCAGGGCCACAGGGGTGTAGTCTATGGGTGCGAGGCTGAGTCCCTTCTCTGTGGATGGGAAGTGCATGGTGTGTGTTCACTTTGAGAACCATTCCCAAAGTCAGACTGCAGCCGCTGCACCAGCCGCTGGGGGCCGATGGCTGCCCCCAGAGCCTCAGGGACCCTGTCCTTCGTTCCCACACCTAAACCTGCACCAGAATGATTGGGAGGCATGGGTGAATTAGATGGAAGAAAATTGGGGGAGGGGGGAAGGGGAGATCCAGAATGAAGTCCGGAAGTGCAGGAGGAAGGATGTGTGGAGCAGGAGTCACCTCTTGCAGGGAGCCCCTACTTGTCCAGGCTGTCTGGTGAGACCCATCACAAATCCGCAGCATCCCCCGCCACCACGTCCTTCTGCACTGACTACCTCCTGTCCTGCCCTGGCTGGATCCTGTGTTCACACTGGCCCTGTCCGGCCCCTCCCTGTGAGGCCAGCTCCAGCCCATAGTGACCGCCCCGTTAGCCTTGGGCAGGCTGCACTCCTCTCTGTGGCTTGTGGGGGCCCCATGGGGTCCGCGCTGTGATTGCCTGTGGCCTCCCTGCAGGGCTGTGACTCCCTGACACAGACACAGCGAGGCCAGCTGCAGAGCCGCAGGGCCCGGATTTACCAGCAGATTAACAAGGAGCTGCAGATGCGGACGGGCGCTGAGAACCTCTATAGGTGAGTGCAGAAGGTCCCCCGGCCCCGAGCAGGGCCTGCCTGGGTGAGGGTGGCAGAGTAGCCACCCAGGCAGGTGTCTACCCCATAGCTGGGTCAGGGAGTCGGCTGCACGAGCAGGTGAGTCCTGGCGGGCGTGCAGTACACATGATGCTCAGCCATGACCCTTGCAGACCTGCCTCCAGGGGACTCTGTGCTGGGCTAGAGGGGCGAGGAAACCGGGGTCCCCCTGGGTATGCAGCCTGGGAGCCCTGAGCACTGCACATGGGGGCTTCTCAGAAGAGGCATGGTTGAGGCTGAGCTGTGGCAGGTGATGGCACGTCCTGGGAAAGGGGTGGAAGACATGCTCCTCTTCCTTGGAGCACACCGCCCATGAGCCTCGCATGTGTGTGAGTGCCCCTTAGTGCCTGCTGCCTCCCCGCCCCCATCCTGGCCTTCCTTGGGGACCCCTGGTCCCTTTGCCAGGTCCTGATGCAGGCACAGAGAGGGGTCTGGCTCTTGGCCACCATCCAAGGAAGTTGTGTTTGAGTGCTGTGGAGAGCTGTGTGAGCCCCAAAGAAAGCTGGGGCACTGAGGGAAGTGCCCCCAGGCTGGAGTCAGGACATGCAGGTGCTGGGGTCAGGGGTGATGAACTGGAGGGGGCATCACCTGTGAGCCCCCGGATCCTGCTGCTGCCCCTGCCCCACCCATGGGGGGTGGACCCCGCCAGCAACATCCCTCTGTGGGGTGAGCTCGGAGCTCTGACAGGTAGCTGGCAGGAGGGCTGCAGTGGGCACAGGGCCTTTGGCTCAGCCCTGGGGCTGGGCTTTCAACTGCCCGGCCTTCCTTAGAGCCACCAGCAACAGCCGGGTGAGAGAGACAGTCGCCCTGGAGTTGAGCTACGTTAACTCCCACCTGCAGCTGCTGAAGGAGGAGCTGGAGGAGCTCAGCGGCGGCACGGACTCTGGCCGGCATGGGAGGTGCAGATGGGGCCAGGACCGCACGTGTGCGTGCACTTTGGGAGCAGTTTAGGACAGTGGAGGGGGACTTGCAGGTGCCCATGCCCCACAGGAGAGGTTCAGGATGGTGGGGGGTACGCAGCCCCCCCCCAGGAGCTGCAAAAACGCCCCCCAGGACAGGTGCACGTGTGGATCCATGAGGGTGGGATGCACACCGTGCCGCAGAGCCCTGGGAGTGGACCCGGGCTGCCGAGGGCAGCAGGGCTCAGCCTCACAGTCTGGAGTCAATGCTTCTGGTTGTAGCGAAGCTGTCACTGTCCCCATGATACCCCTGGGCCTGAAGGAGACCAAGGAGCTGGACTGGTCTACACCGCTGAAGGTATGCACTGTCCTGGAAGCTCTGAGGGGCACGGCCCTGCCCTTGGACCCAGGGGCCTTGGAAGCTTCCTGGTCCAGCCGTCTCATTGAACAGATAGGGAAACTGAGGCCCAGAGGAAGGGTGAAAGGGACATCAGGGACCCGGCATAAATGGCCAGGGACCCAGCCTCTGCTGCATTCATGGCTCGAAGTGGTGCCTGCGCCCCAGGCTGGGGCTGATCCCATAGAGAGGGTGTGAACACATACCCTGCCCTCAGACGGGCAATGCCCTAGGACGATGGGGCCCCAAGAAGGGGCACGGGACCCAGGCTCGTCCATGGAGGGCATCATTGGCTCAGGGCCACATGCCTAGCACTGGCCCACAAGGGCCTTGGAAAGGGCTCAGACCCCAAAATAGACTGGCACTGCCTGGCAGGGGCCTGTGGGAGCCACTGACTGTTCGGCATGCGGGTCACTGAGTGGCAGACAGGCCCACGCCTCCGAGCCACAGGGATGAATAAGGAAATGCACATAAAAGTAGCGCAGAGTCTCCAGGCCCCACTTCTGTGATGGGCTGGGGGAACCCCAGGGCCAGAGGGGTTCCGACCCGCATCAACCCACCGAGTCCCTCCGGACACATCGGCGCCCAGCCCTTCTCTAAGGGGCCAGGGCGCCGGTCCTTCATGGCAGCCAGCCTGCTCTGCAGCACAGACCCTCCCTCCACCATGAGTCTTTCCCCAAGGTGGGCTGGGCCACCCCAGGGAAGGAGGCCAGGTGGGCTCCACAGGCTGGACGCCAACACCTACTCCCCATCAGGAGCTGATCTCGGTGCACTTCGGAGAGGACGGCACCTCCTACGAGGCAGAAATCAGGGAGCTGGAGGCCCTTCGGCAGGTGTGTGGTTCCCCGCCTGCCCTACAGCCCTGGGAGACGCAAGCAGAGGCTGAGGACAGGCCTAAGTCAGGAACAGAAGGCAGAGCTCAGTGTGGATGTCTCAGGGACATGGGGAGACAGGCAACGCAGGGACCCTGTGTGCAGACACGACCGGGGGGCGGAGGGGCTTGCAGGTGGCTCCCGTGCCGCATGCTGCTGGCCTTCAGGAGTTGTGGCTGCCTAAGGCCCTACTGGCTTTGCCTCCCCACCCCCCGTGGTGCTGATGCCCGCAGGGGCTCCCCAGAGTGGTGTGTGAGTGGGGTGGGCCGGGCGGTGGGGCCCAGTGGCTCCTGCCCCACAGGCCATGCGGACCCCCAGCCGGAACGAGGCGGGCCTGGAGCTGCTCACCACCTACTACCACCAGCTGTGCCTCCTGGATGCTCGCTTCCTCACCCCCGCCAGGAGCCTCGGGCTCTTCTTCCAGTGGTAAGGACTCTGCAGGCAGCGGTGCCTGGGGAGGGGAGGCCTGGCTGCTGCGTCATGGGAACTCCACCCAGCCTGACCCCACACTGCAGGTATGACTCACTCACCGGGGTCCCAGCTCAGCAGCGTGCCCTGGCCTTTGAGAAGGGCAGCGTGCTTTTCAACATTGGCGCCCTACACACGCAGATAGGGGCGCGCCAGGACCGCACCTGCATCGAGGGTGCTCACTGTGCTGTGGAGGCCTTCCAGAGGGCCGCTGGTGAGGGCATCCTGGGCTGCGGTAGGGCAGGGTTCGGTGCCAGGGTGCCACAGAGTTCCTTCTGCGGGCCAGGAGCTGGGGGGTGGTCAGGACATCAGTCCCTCAGGTAAGGGGCCTGAGCAAGCACATCAGGCCCACCGTGTCCCCGGAGCAGCCCTGGCTGGCCACCCTGAGTGCCACCTGGGGCAGAGAGAGGCAGGTGCAGGGCCTGCCATGTGAGCACCCTCCCTCCCTCCGTCCGCAGGGGCTTTCAGCCTCCTGAGGGAGAACTTCTCGAATGCGCCAAGCCCGGACATGAGTGCTGTGTCCCTCTGCGCCCTGGAGCAGCTCATGATGGCCCAGGCCCAGGAATGTGTGTTTGAGGGCCTCTCACCACCTGCCTCCATGGCCCCCCGCAACTGCCTGGCCCAGCTGCACCTGGCACAGGAGGCTGCCCAGGTGAGCTCACAGCACCCTGGTCAGGGTGCAGGGGGTGGGGCCGAGCTGGGGTCAGAGCTGGGTCCAGGCAGGCCTGAGACCTGCCTCCTTCCTGTGGGGCTGGAGCCTCTGCTCAAGGGTACGGCATGAGGCAGCAGGAACTGGGGTGCTGGAGAGCAGGAGGCCCTCGAGTGCCCGCCATGTCCACGGCAGGTGGCAGCCGAGTACAGGCTCGTGCACCGGACCATGGCCCAGCCCCCTGTCCACGACTACGTGCCCGTCTCCTGGACTACCCTGGTGCACGTCAAGGCTGAGTACTTCTGCTCCCTGGCCCACTACCACATAGCCATGGCCCTCTGCGACGGCTCCCGTGAGTGCCCGCCCTACCTACCTGTGGTGCTGCAGAGGCCCCTGCCTGGGCCTCATGGCCTCTCTGTCCCCCAGCAGCGACCGAGGGAGAGCTCCCCGCACACGAGCAGGTCTTCCTTCAGCCCCCGACCTTCTCTAATCCCCGAGGCCCCGCACTACCACTGGAGCTGGAGGAGCGCAGGAAGCTTGGTAAGGCGTCTGTGGATAGAGTGCCCTGGGGGCTCAGGTGGCCACCAATAGCAACAGCACGTCCCACACCACCCTCATGCTCTTTGCCACCTGCTGTCCCCATACGGATGGGGGGCCACCGACCTATCCTTGGATGCCCTGTGCCTGATGGGTGACAGCCCAGCACAGGGGCACCAGGCAGCCATGAGCAGGTAGGCCACCACTGGGAGCAGCTTGTCCATCCCTGGCCCCCTCTTTGCACCTGGCAGAGCCCTCCTGCATAGCCAGCCCCTCGCCCCATGGCTCAGGCCCCCAGTGAACGTGGCTGTGATGAGCCCTGCAGCCCTGGCCTTGCCTGCTCCTCCTGCCAAGTCCTGGGGCCCTCGGCCACATGGTGTGTGACAGCGCTATGCCCGGTGCAGGCAAGGCCCACCTGAAGCGCGCCATCCTGGGGCAGGAGGAGGCACTGCGGCTGCACATGCTGTGCCGTGTCCTGCGGGAGGTGGACCTGCTGCGGGCCGTGGTTGCCCAGGCACTACAGTGTTCACTGGCCAAGTACTCGGAACTCGACTGTGAGGATGACTTCTGCGAGGCTGCTGAGGCCCCCGACATCCGGCGTGAGCATCCAGGGCCTGTCTGGGTGGCTGCATCCCCGGCTGGGGTGGGGGCCTTCATCCTGGAGGAAAGGAGGCTGATTGCATTACAGACACAGTCACCACAGTGAATTAAATAACTGGCACTTTCCAGGCGGTGATTTCAAGGCCCACAGGGGACTGGGGGCCAACCAAGCTCCTCGGAGTCTCCCTCCCCACCCCAGCCCCTACCCTGAGGGGAAGCCCACAGGCCCGGGCTGGCATGGCTGACTTCAGGGAGGGCTTCTGGAGCCGCTTGGGTAGGGAGATCGTGTGGTCAGGGTACCTGGCGCGCTCCTCCCACCATTGCAGAGTGGCCAGGCCTGCAGGTCAGAGGCAGGGCCTGTGTGTGCTTGGGGTCATGCCCTGTGTCCTGGAAGATTCCAGGGGCTGGTCCCCACAGGCTTACAGCTTAGCTCTGTTCTTCCTCCCTCCCTCTCAGCGAAGACCCGCCAGAAGCCAGAGGCCAGGATGCCATGCCTGTCCCAGGGGAAGGGGCCTGACATCTTCCATCGGCTGGTGAGCACACCCGTCCCCAGGCACCCTCCAGCACTGGCAGCTTGGGCTGCATGGCTCTGACCAGCACGTGGCCTCAGGCCCTTGATGGTGGTCCAGCCGTGCCTGGCCTGCCTCAGTGCACAGGTTGGGCGGGAGTGCTGGCCAGGCAGGGTCTCCTCTGACCTCTGAGCCCCGCCAGGGGCCCCTGTCTGTGTTCTCAGCCAAGAACCGGTGGCGGCTGGTGGGCCCCATCCACCTGACCCGAGGAGAGGGCGGCTTTGGCCTCACGCTTCGGGGAGACTCGCCTGTCCTCATTGCTGCTGTCATTCCAGGGGGCCAGGCTGCGGTAAGGGCCCCGCCGGCCCCTGAGGCTGAGTCCCTGGTGCCCACCAGGGTGTGATATCCCCGTCTCACTGTCCAAGTCTCCCCGCAGGCGGCAGGCCTAAAGGAGGGCGACTACATCGTGGCGGTGAACGGGCAGCCGTGCCGCTGGTGGAGGCATGCGGAGGTGGTGGCGGAGCTGAGGGCTGCGGGAGACGCGGGTGCCAGCCTGCAGGTGGTGTCGCTGCTGCCCAGCTCTGGCCTGCCCGGCCTGGTGAGCCCCAGGGCCCTGAGGGGCAGTCCCCAGCCTGCTGTCCCCACCCTGGTCCTGGGCCTGCCCCGGATGCTTGAGCAGCATTAGAAAGGGGAGACAGGGATGCAGGCAACCCTCCCCGGGGTGGGGGGGGACTCCTGGGTAGGGGCCACCTGTGCTTCAGCCTCCACCTGGGGGCCCTGCTCTGCCCCAAGAGTGCCGCAGCTCACCACTCCCTCAGCCTGTGTCCTCAGACTGGAGGCTTCTGGGTCTGGCGCTCCATCCCAGTGCCCGGCTGACCCAGGGCCGGGTGAAACCCATGGGACCCCTGCTATGTGGCCGTTCTGATGGGAGCCCCCAAACAGTTTCACGACATGCCAGCCCCTCCCTGGGGGTTTTTGCCTCCTCCCAGACTGGCTGTAGGTGGGGATGGATGGCAATGGCTGACCACAGTCTCTCTGTCCCTGCCATAGGGGGACCGCCGGCCCACCCTGCTGGGCCCCAGGGGGTTTCTGAGGAGCCAGAGGGAGCATGGTTGCCAGACTCCGGCATGCACAAGGGCCAGTCCCCGGCCCCTCCTTGGCTGGAGCCGAAAGACCCAACAGGGCAAGACTGGAGGTCGCTTGCAGCCCTGTGCCCCAGCAAAGGTGGCTCCACCCTCACCCTCGGAGCTCCCAGGGCGGTTGTGAGGGCCGGGCTCCTCACACACCCAGCTCTGGCTTCAACTGGTGGGAAGCATCAAGCACTCCCCCACCCAGAGGACCTGCAGGCAGTGCCTGCTTTGTCCCATGCCGGAGGCTGGCTTGGGCACCTTTCTGCCCATTAAAGACGATGGTCAGACCTGTCTGAGCCCAGTGACGGGAGCCGTGGCCACTTCACCCATATACAGGAAGGGTGCCAGTCCCTCTGCCGATCTGAGGTCAGCTTCCTGGGGCTGCCCTGCCCTGGGGGCTCCTCACAGCCTCCCCTCTGTACCCCCAGGCTTTGTCCACCTGCTGCTGCCCTGGGCACAGACCCTGAGGTGTCAGTCCTGCCTCCAGCCAAGCTTCTGCCTGGTGCACAGTGACTACTGCTGGGCACCTCTTTGCTCCCTACTCCTCTGCCATGCAGCAGCCAGGTACATCTATGGCACCTACAGACCTCTAGGCAGGGTCCCAGCCAAGTCCCTCCCCTGAGATACGTCCCGTTGTCCCATCTGTGTACAGAGCAGGGGACCCCCCCCATCTCTGTGCTCTGTGCTGGTTAACCCAGCAAGTGTTCCCTTTGCCAAGAGTCCCTGGTGTCAGGGCCCAGGTCTCATGGTGGCCCTGAGCTGCTGGACCTGCTGCCCTGCTCTGAACATAGGTGCCACCCTCCAGCTCCTGGGCATGTCACCTCTCCCTGATCCTGGGGCCACCACAGGCCCCCAGCCCTCCCCAGCCTGCCTGGATGCTCCTGCTGGCCTCCACGGGCCCTGAGTTCTCAGTGTCTCAAGCAGGGGAAGTGGGGGCTGCCTCCAGGCCTCTGTACACTGGGTGGACAAAGGCCATCGGCAGGAATGCCACCCCCAGGACAATAGTGGGCTCAGGCCTGGGCTCCACTGGAGGGAGGGGATGGGAAGGGCTACAGGGCAGGGCAGGCCTGAGCTGCACCCAAGAGAGGCCACGGAGCAGGGCCACCACCCAGGGCCCAGCAGGTTCCAGAAGGGACAGGGCTGGCGGGAATCACTCCCGGAGCCACCAGGGGGCAGCTGCCACCCGCTCAGCAGCCCCGAGAGGCAGCACGGGCAGGTGCAGCTTGAGAGGGCCAAGCTGCAGACCCTGTGTGACAAGGCAGCCCCCAGTGCTACAAGCCCCCTGCCCTCTCATCCAGGCCCTTCCCAGGGTCCTCCAGGTGGGAGCAGCCCAGCCTGTGTGCCAGGCTCCAGTCCCAGGACAGGACCCTGCACTGCCACCTCCCTTGTGCTTCAGTCAGGAAAATGGGGTGCCAGTGCGGTGTGGGGGGGTCCCAGAGACGCAGGTGCCACGGTGTCATCTTCCTGGGCAGGAGGGCAGGGCTCCCCAGCCTGCCTGAGCCAAGGTGGGGGTCCAGGTGTATCCCTTTCCCTCCCCTGCCCTCCTGGGAAAATCCCTGTCTCAGCAGAACGGTCCAAGGTCATGAAGGTCTCCCCAGCACATGCTAATTTGATTAATAAAACTGCGTCAAGGAGGCCATTAGGCGCTAAGTGGGGATGACAGGGTAGCAGCCCTGTCTGGGAGGTGCAGGGACTCCCCACCTCCTGTGGCCTCTCCAGACCTGAGGTGGGGCCAAAGCTGCCCACTGCCTCCTGCAAGGTGGGCCCTGGGCCACCACGGGCTGGCGGAGGGGGGCTCTCCCCACCTCAGACCCTTGGGGTGCGCCTCACCTGTCAAGCCCCTGCCCATACACACCTCTTCCCTGGCTGCCATCAAGGCTGGGCCTGTGCTCCTGGTCCTCCAACCCAGGCTGTCCCATCCCCTGCTGCTCCTCACGGGTCTCCCTTGGGACTGCCTCCTGTCATCCTGTCCCTCAGTGTAAGGGTGGGGGCCTCACAGAGTCACACGTGGCTGGGACTGGCTCCTGTCACCCCTCCATCTGACATCTGTGAAGTGGAGGAATCCTGGGGCATGGGGGTGCTGTCGGGAAGGGAAGATGAGGGAGGCCCTGAGGTCCTGCTGCCCGCTGAGAGAGAGGGCAAAGGTCCTGGGATCTGGGGCCTAGAGCTCTAGTCAAGGCAGGGCTGGACAGGGGTCCTCCTCCCCACCTTCCACTTGGGACTGCTCCTAGGGCAGCAGTGAGCCCCTCTCCAGAATGGAAAGCGGGTGCCAACCGGCCCAGCCCCTCAGCCTTGGACCATGCCACTCCAGCCACTGTGGGAGTCCTGCCAGACAGACCCTGGGCTGCGGGAAGGGACCGTGCCCCATCCTCACTCCTGCACCAGCTGGTGGCTGATTGCTGGACACACGGTGGACTGCCCAGTCCAGCTCCCTGGGGACTTCAAGTCCACACAGGCAGCTATAGGAGGGGGTGTCAGTCACCACAGCTCTAAGAGACCTGGGGACCAGTCAGGGCATGATGCCAGGCCTGGGAGGACCTGCAGCTACATTCCCCTGGCCAGCTGTGACCTGTGCTCCTCCAGGGGGCAGCAGGCCCTGGGGCCAGCACACAGGGGGCACCTGTGCTGAACCTGCCCTAGCAGGAGGCATCAGCTCAGGGTCCCATCCCACCTGTTCAGGCTGGGAGCAAGCTGGGTCAGGGTGGGGCTTCGAGGCTGGGGGAAGGCTGGGCTGACTGCTGGGGAGCACTCGGTCCGAAGGCTGTGCCTCCCAGTGGGTACAGCTGTCCCCACAGCTGCACATGTTGGTGCTCGCCTGCCCTTCTGTGCCTAGACTCCACCCTGTGGAGCCCGTTCTCCCCTGAGGTTCTGCTTGCTTGGTCTTGGGCGTTGCTGGCTGGCACTGTTTTGGCCCTTAGGGATTGGTTAGTGTCCCTTCCTTGGACAGCCTGGCTCGGCCGCCCCCTTTGCATGGCTTTAGCCCCACCCTCTGGCCTAGCCGTGTCACTTGGGTCACTGTGTCGCCCATGGGCCAAGGGCAGGGATGGCACCAGCGTTTCCATGAGAGCATGGATGCGTGGGGCAATGTTGCCAGGGAGGGCGGGGCCGCAGCATGATCCTGCTTCGCTCCCCATGCCTGGGAAGAGCCAGGGCCCACGACGGATGAGGGGCAGCATGGGGACCGATGGCGCCTGGGACCGCGTGTGCGCAGGGACGCATGTGCATCCTGCCCAGGCGCTGGGCCCCTCGCAGCGACACTCCACTTCCACAGTGGTCCCCAGGCAGGAGGCTGAGCTGAGTCTGCGCTGCTATCCTTTCTGCTTTGCCAACAGAAAACTGCGGAGAAGGAAGAAGGCAGACTCCGTTTTGCTTGGGTCAGCAGTGAGCAGGATTAACAGCAGGGAGAGGAGACGCGAGGGGTGGGGGCGGGGGCTTGGGGATGGACAGGGCTGGGGATAGACTGAGGTGAGCCAAGGGCAGGGTCCCCAGTTCACTCCTCACCCCCTCCCAGCCCCTGCTGCCACCTCAAGCCAGCGGTTCCAGAAGAGGAGGGACTGCAGACTTCCGGCAAGTGTTGAGGTCAGGCCCCGTCCCACTGCATCCCCCCACATCCCCAGAGCACTGTTTTCCCTGTTCCCAATGGCTGTGGTCAGGATCTGTGCCTGTTCGAGGTGGGCCAGGTGGCCGGTGGGCTGGCGAGACTACAGCTGTCCTCAAGCGCAGACAGCACCCTCAGACCATCTGTGACATGGCATCAAGGTCCAGAGAGCCCAGGGGCTTGATCATGGAGGGGAGCCAGCGAAAGGCAGGGACTGGGGTGCCCCACAAAGCTCCAGATAGGAACCTACTCCACGGGCTTCAGACCCCCAGGCCAAGGGGGCAAGTGGGCAGCCGGGAGGACCCTAAGGAGGAGGGGGTGGGCCCAGACCCAGCGAGGCCTCAAGCCAGGTTGGTGGAGGTGGCACTGGGGGCTCTGGCCACCTAGATGGTGCTGTTGTCCATGGGAGAGGTGACAGGGGCCAAGTCAGGCCATGGGTAGCAGATGAGCTTGGAGGGTTGAGCTTGGCCTCCGCTTCCCAGCACTAGGAGAGATGCTGACGGCCTGGGGCCAAGTCCTTAGCCACCTCCAGGTTACTCATGACTGACCTGTGGCCACTCTAACCCTCCCACTGTGAGATAGGAAGAGATGGGCCTCCAAAGCCGCAATTCCACCACCCTCCCCACCATCGCCAAGGTCACAGCCTAACTACCCCTGAGGTCACATACACACCCCCACCGGCCTCCCCCATGGCTGAATCACACCCCCCTCACCCCCTCCCACCCCTGAGGTCACTCCTTCACCACCATCCCCCACCCCTGAGATCACACCACCTTCCCCCACCCCTGAGGTCACACCCCCCACCCCACCCCCACTCCTGAGGTCACACCTCCGCCACCCTCCCCACCCCTGAGATCACACTCTCACCACCTTCCCCCACCCCACCCCCACTTCTGAGATCACACCTTTACCATGCTCCCCAACCCCTGAGGTCTCACACCCCCACCCCACCCCCACTCCTGAGGTCACACCTCCGCCACCCTCCCCACCCCTGAGATCACATTCTCACCACCCTCTCCCACCCCTGAGGTCACCCTCCCCCAACCCTAGGTCACCTGGCGTATCACTGTGCTCCCCCACTGTTGACGTCACATCCACCGCCCCTGCCATGGTGTGGGCAGCACATACCCCACCCTCCCCACACCCATCTCTGGTCCCCATGAGGCCGTCACGGGTGACCTCAGGTCCCCATCACTGCCACCCTCCACCTCTCTCCTCAGCAGCCGCATTCTTGTCATGGTCCCTTCATCTCCCACAGCCTTTAGTGCATCAGTGTCTCTGCCTGATCTCCACTGCATTTTTTTTTTTTTTGAGATGGAGTCTCACTGTCACCCAGACTGGAGTACAGTGGCGCCATCTTGGTTCACTGTACTCTGCCTCCTGGGCTCAAGCAATCCTCCCACCTCAGCCTCCCAAGCAGCTGGGACTACAGGCGCCTGCCACCTTGCCCGGCTAATTTTTGTATTTTTGTAGAGACATTTCAGTGTGTTGGTCTCGAACTCCTGGACTCAAACTATCTGCCAACCTTGACCTGTCAAACTGCTGGCATTACAGGCGTGAGCCACTGCGCCCGGCCTCCACTTCTCTTTTCTTGGGTCCACAGAGCAAGTTGGGACAGGCCAGGGATCTGCAGTGGGGTGAGGATCTCTCCAAGTCCGCAGGAGGAAGGGCACCCACTTCTCCAGGGAGGGGTGGGCGGTGGA